GAGGTGCGTTCTGAGGAGGGATCTGCAGGGAGAAGGGGTTGCTGGCCTCATGTCTCAGGGCTACCACCAGCAGCAGCCCAGGATGGTGTGTGGGGGGACACCCGGGTGGACTGTTTATGGGGCCAGGATCAACATTAGCAAAGAGACACTGAGGAGGGGGTGGCCCAGTGCTGCTGGGCAGAGCAGTGGGACCTGAGGAGTAAGGGGCTTCCTCCAGGGCTGGGGTTTAATGCATGGATGTGGGGAGGTGCTCCCCTGCCATAGGGAGCTTCTGCCTCAGGGGAGCTGAGCAATCCCAAACTCAACTCAAACAGATTTGGGGGCTCTCACACCAAGCCTTTGGTTGGGGCCTGACTGCAGTGAGACACCTCCCCAGAAGCCCTAGAGCTGTGTCAGCCTGTTTTTTACCCTTGCTAATGCAATCTGTCCACCTCACCAGCTGGATTCCAAACCTGGGCTGGGGATTTTGCGTGAGGCTTCCTGGAACAGCTCTCTGCAGCCCCCCTGGCACCACAGCAGGGTTTGGGCCAGATTCTCCCCCAGCAAGAGCCCCTTGGGATAACTGAAGTCTCATCCCAGGGAGACCTCGCACCTTTTCCAGTGCAGGATGGAGGCTGGAGCCAAGAGCGTGGCTATTACTGAGCTTGTTGTGCTTGTTTTAGGAGGCACCAACCATCAGACAAAGGCTAAGTCGTTTGGCCATGGCCTGGGGCTTGGTCAGCACCTATACTGGCTGTGGAAATGAAGGCAAACACGTTGTCTCTGGAGCAGCTGCCAGCACATGCTCTGAAGATGGCCCCAAGAAAATGTTGGTGGGCCATAGCTGCTCTTGGTGGCCCCAAGGCCAGAACCTCAGCAGCAACTGATGTTCCCTGCCTCCAGGGGTTCACGATTAGTGGGTGCTGCTGCTGGCATGGACCCCTAGAGAGGGACCTCATCTTGGTTCTCGGGACCTGGCTTGCAGGGCCCTTTGCTGTCTCCACTTGGTGGATGCATCCTAGGGAGGCAGCAGCAAGTGCAGTTTTGTCCCCAAGGAGCATCCTCATTCTGCTCTAGGAGGAGGCACACTGCAGGGTAGGAAGGGAAAGCTCCTGAGAAGGTGGAATTGAATCAAATCTGGCTGGACTGACCGCCTGGGTGAGATCTTGACAAAGGCCGTGGGTGGTTTTGGAGGTGGGTGGCAAATCATGTCCTGGTTGGATTGTCTCCTGGAATTCCTGCTTCTGCCACCGCCTCTCTCTGCTTGGCCTTGGTCAGTCTAGAACAGAGTGATCCTCAGGGGGATGGGCTGAAGGGACTGACACAGCTCTGGCAGGGGACTGTTGGTGGTCTGCCGTGAGCTGCTGGCAGATCAGAGCGTGGGAGAGCAGACCCAGCCTCGGAGTCTGCCATGTAGCCACAGAGCAAAGTCCCCTGGAAGGAAGGGATGGAGTCAGTCAGGGAGTGAAGTGGGTGGGTGCTGTGGTCCTACCCAGACATGCTCTGTCAGGAGTGACCAGGGGCAGGGGACAGTCCTGCTCCTGCTGAGAGACACCGTCTCCCGCGTGCAGTTGGGCTGTCTAGGGGCAGAAAGTGGTATGAGAAATCAACCAATTAATAATGATAATAACAGTGCTCTGCCTCTTCTAGGCATGAGATAGCCCTAGGGAGGAGGCCTGCCCTGGCTCCTGAGGAGGAGGAGCAGGAAGAGCTCTGCCCAGCCTTGTCCTCGGCCATCTCAGCTGGCCTGGGGCTGTGGCTGTACACGTGCACAGAGCACAAGGTCTGATCTGAGCTCCAGGAGGATGAGGGATGCCCAGCATGAGCACGGGCAAGCTTGTGGTGGTTTGGGCACTTCTCTAAGCACGTGTGAACCAAGTGGGTTCCTTGGCGTCACTCCCCCTTGACTGAGGAGCGTGGTGAGGGGGAGGCTCAGCTGAGCACAGATGGCTTCTCTGCTCCTGCCTCAGGCCTTACGCTGGCCCTCGGGACAGCATGTGGACACCCCTCTCCTCCCAGGACATCCTCTACCTGGCTTCAGTGCTCCTCAAGCATCCAGACTATTCATTAGCAGACTCCAAGGTGGTTTGGCTGCTCGCAGGGCTGGAGAGCCGCTTCCAGCCTGGCTGCTGGCTACAGGGTCTCAGTCTCCTCTGCCAGGCTTTCCCCCTTGGCTGGCATGGAGACCTACTGGCTCTCCACTCCAGGACACACAGGGGAGTCCCCTTCTGCTCCTGAGACAATGTTCTTCAGGAAGTATCACTTCTTCCCTGAAGATCCAGGAAGGTTGTTTGCACCAGCATCCTCGTTTCTAACTTGAGGTTCCCCATGCAGTGCAGGCTGGGGATGGGCAAGGCTGAGTCCCTGTGACCAGGAGGTCATTGAGGTCTTTTCTGTCCAGAGTTTTGTTGTGGTTTGGCCTAAACAAAGCTGATTGGTGTGTCCAGCCTCATCAACCAAGAGATGGGGTGTCTCAATGCTTCCTTTAGCCAGGAAGAGGGTGCCACCAGGAGTAAGCAGAATTTTATTTGGGATCTACCCTCCCTGGGAAGGATGGAACCTCACTTCTCCCCTCTTGGTGCAGCACAGAGGGGCTAGAACTGGACCCCCCATTCCTGCCTGCCCCAGGAAGGAGGTGAATTTGGGCAGCCCTCTTGGGTGGTCAGCCCCTCCCCGGTGCATGGGGAGAGGTGTCCATCCCCTGGGATGGTGGCCAGCCCATGACTCACTCTCTCCTCCCTGTGCAGAGAGCCCAGGCAGGAAATTTGGGCGGTGCTCAGGTATTTGCTCATGGGACACCACCTCATTCCAGGCATGTCAGGGATGAGTGGGAGATTGTGTAACCTCCTGGGGAGGGGGGACCTCCTAGGGCTTCCAGCCTGCTGCACACTCAGGCTCACGGGAACCAAGTCCTGCCTCTGCACTGCTCCCATCCAACCCATCGTGCTGGGACTTGGGACCACCCTTCATCTCCCTGAGCTCTGCAGTTTACTGCAGGAAGGGCGTCCATGAGGCACAGATGGGGTAGGAAGGATGTTCAGCAGTATATAAAAGTTTGTAGCTGGTGGTGATGCTTTGATGATGAGGATGGAATGCCATGCTTGGGCTCTTTGGCTCTGTGATCCCTGGACTCAGACCCTGTAGAAGGGGACACTGCCAGAGCACAGCAGTCCCGTTTACTTTGCTGATGTGCATTTTGCAGGCAGGGAAATCGAAGCACGGCCGTGGCCAGGGGATGCTGCCAAGCCCAAGCCCCCGAGGTTGCTGAGAGCTGCTGCGTGGCAGGCCCACGCCACCCTCTTGGGAAATGCAAGGCAAGGGAAGAGCCGTAGGAAGGGGAGAGGAAGATGTTACGAGCAGGAGTGCTGGGGCTGCGCCTCCACAGGAGTCACACGGGCTGGCTGGGACACAGCCTCTGCCTGTGGCACCCGAGTGCTTGGCTTGTGGTGACTCCAGCACCGGGTGGCACCTCACAGTCCCTGAGGCTGTCATAAATGGACATCTCAGCTCCTGCTGTAGCCTTCGGTGTGAGCCGTGGAGTGGCTGCCTCTGTGATGGGGAGCTGGGGCAATGACAGAGCCTTTAAGGAACTGCTGCCCCCGGTCCTTTGCTGGAGTCAGGGGGTAGGAAGGAGCGGCGTGGCTGGGGGGGAGGGGGGCAGGTGTGGCTGCCTCTGCTGCAGGACATCAGCTTTTCTCCTGCGCTCTTCCTCCACCCAACACGTACCAGCCAGCCCTGAAGAAGTGTGTCCCTCCTTCAGCTGACTCCTGTGCGATGTCCCATTGTCGCTGCTCGAGCTCTTCACTCCTGGTCTCAGATCCCAGGATCAGCAGGTGACCGAGCTGAGCCCCTGCTGACCTTTGTCCCCTCAGCAGTCCCTGGGTGATGCTATCAGTCCACACCCTCCCGCCCCTGCTTGCCCACATCCTGGCAGCACCCTGCTCTCCCTGCCTGGAGGGTAGGGCTGGCACTGTCCGCAAGGGTAGAAACAACAGGACACCAGGACGAAGGTGGCACCAAGCCTTGTGCTTCCTTGTCCACAGGGAGCTTTGGGAGCATCCCGTGCCTTGCTGCAGGCTCTGCATCCAGCTATTCTGGCAGCTTGTTCACAGTAGCAGGGCTGGAATAAGGGCCATGGTTGTACCCATTGGTTGTGTGATGGACATGACAGGGAGAGGTCTGATGGGGACCTTCAGTGAGTCTTCACTGAGGTGAGGAGGGCTAGTAGTTGTGCTATGGCCTTGGGAATTTTGTCCTCAAGCCCTGAAAGCAGCATGACTGCAACAGCCTGCACAGTGCCCAGGGGGGCTTGTAGTCTGCATAGCAAGCCCTTGTCCACTGCAGCCCAGTCCTGGGGTGGCACTGGGCTCTTCAGCATCTCAGTGGGCTGAACTGCAGAGCCCTTTGCATGGGACAAGACTGTAGGACGGCAGTTCTGGGCCAGGCTGAAGGGCCATTTCACCCACCTCTACCAGCAGCCAAGGGCAGACACCCAGGGAAGTGCCTCCAAACAGGGCAAGCATGTTGTGCTGCCTCTGCGGGCCGCTCTCCTGGCCTCCAGCCATCTGTGGCTTCAAGTCTTCCCATCCCAGATGTGGTGGTGGTGCATCTGGCAGCCCTGCAGCATTTTTTTTCCCCCCAACGTTTTTTGAATCCACACAAATTTTTGAGCATCTGCAGTGTTCTATGGCAAGAAGTTGTGCAGAGGAGGTGTGTGCTGTGCAAAAAGCCACCGGCTGCTTGCTCTGAACACACCACCTTGGTTGAAGGCAACACACCACACTTGGCTGAAGGCAACAGCCAGGCATTGGCCACTCGCATGCGTCCGTGCCCTTGGCCACAACTTAGACTCTTTCTTTGGAGACCAGGAGGACATGGAGGAAAGGCCTGAAGAACCTCACCTGTGTTCTGGTGTCCTGGGCAGTGATGAAGTGGATGAGAACTTCCTTCACCCACCCTTCTACTCTGCTGCTCCCTCTTTCAGGTCCTCAACAAATGAGCTGGCCGTGCTCATCTCCCGCATGCAGACAAATGCTGACCAGGTGGAGAAGGACATCCTGGAGACACAGTCCAGACTGAAGCAGGTGAGCTGTGGCAGAGGGTGGTGGGAAGGTGGAAGGGTTTGCCCAGAAATGCAGTGCCTAGGATAACAGGTCAGATGTCTGCTGTGTGCCTCAGCTGGTGCAGGTTTGGGGGCTGACTCGAGGCTGGGGAGGAACAGAGCAGCCTGCAGAGCCTCCCAGCTCCTGGGGCTGCATACCAGGCCCTCCCAAATTCTAGCCTCTGTGCTTTCTGCTCAGTGTCTCATGCTTCCCACAGCCGAGGTGGTTGCCTAGAGCAGCAGAGCCCTGTGCCTCCCGGCAGCCCCAGGGGCAGGCAGCCAGCCTCACCCACGCTTGTCCCCTGGGTGGGAGAGATGCTGAAGCATGCAGCTGGGCTGGGCACACGCTCCCCAGCAGCACCCTTGCGCCAGGGTTCCTCTGTGGTCGGTGTGTTGGACATCCAGGCCCTCTGTGTTGGCCAGGGAAAATGTTGTGAGGTCTGTGTGGCCCAACCAGGCTTTTTTTCTCTGTCTTCCCTGGTCTCCAGGATGCCAGCAATCACCAGAAGAACAAGGCTTTTGAGTTCCAGCAAGAGAACGCCAGGAATCTGAAGGAGGCAGAGACCCTGCTGAAGGACCTCTTCCTGGATGTGGACCGTGCCAAGCGGCTGAAGCACCCTCAGGCCACTGAGATAGAGAAAGAGTGAGTATGGTGGGGGGACTGGTGTGGTGGGGGCATCAAGGAATGGGGACACCCCTCCCAGAATCTAGACTGAGGTCCAGTAGTTGCCGTAAGAGGCAGTGTTTCACCCTTCTTCCCATAGACTTTAGACTGAAAATACCCCTGGAGATGGAGAGCACCAGGAGAAGTGCCTCCACTACTGAAGGAGGCCAGTGTCATGAAGGCATAACAAGGGAGCCTTGGTTTTACGACCAGGGCTCCACAAAACCCACCGTGGTTCCCCCCCTCCAAAGTGACCCAGAGACATGTGCCTTTTCTCCTCGGCAGCATCCAGCAGCTCCACGACCGGGTGACACAGTTGTGTGCAGAGTACCGGGCCCTCTACGAACAGCTCAGCATCCCCGACGTGGCGCCCAGGGTGGACTGGGCCAGGATCCTGGAGCAAAAGATGGTAACAGCAGCTGGTTTTAGATGTATCTCCCAAATCCTACAAGGGCAGATGATGGTCCGCTGTTGTCTGCAGGGCAATTGTGTGCTCAGCGTCATGCAGGGATTCCGGAGGAGGTGGAAGTACCTATGAGTGGAAAGACTCTCCTCCCACCTCTTAAAACCCTCTGGAGGACCTGCTTGGTTGACCCCTTCAGATTAAGAGCTACAAGAGGGGGATGAGGTAGAGATGTCCTGCTGTGGGATGAAAGGATGGAGAAGGTGATGTCTTCAAGGGCTTTACAACCCTGCATACTAGGGTTTAATGCTGCAATGTCATGGGTATGTGCAGTGCCCAGTTTGGAGTTAACTTGAAGTCCTTGAAAGTTGGATGGTGACTATGCTCACCCACTGCATGTCACCATGGGATGACCGGTGGTTGGGTTACCAGGGTTTTATGGCCTGGTTGTTGTGGCCCCTCTGTATGGCTGAGGAAATGGCAACCAACATCAATCACAGCAAACAGCAACAAGGTCCCTTCCCTTCCTCGTGGCCTGGTGTCAGATACCAGATCTCCTCATCCCCTACCAGCACTCACTGGGGCTTCTTCATGAAATGAAGTCTTCTGCTTTAGCCTCTGCCCAACTCCTTTTGCACAGAAACAAGTCTCTGCAGGACAGTACGGCCCTGGCATGTCGGAGCTGGAAAAGCAGATAGCTGAGCACAACATCCTCCAGAAGGAGATTGAAGCCTATGGCCTCCAGATCAAGAACCTCTGCTCTGGGGTAAGGCACCTGCTGTCCCCTCCTCGCTCCTGTCTGGCCCCATGAGTATCCTCCTTGTTCTGCAGAGGGCATGGGGAGACCTGAGCTTGGACAGATCTCAGGGAGGTGTTTCCTGAAAGCTTTATAAAGCACCTTCTATAAATCAGCTCATCAGCATCTGCCACATGTTTTGGTAATGTGGTTTTTTTTTTCTCTCTCTTTTTTTTCTTTTTTTTTTTTCCTCCCCTCTTTGATGTTGGCTGTGGTGTAACCCAGGATGTGGCAGATTTAAAAAGCCAGTACAAGGACTTGCTGGTAAGCTTCTCAGTGGTTTTCTGGGCACGTAGCATCATACAGCAGAGTAACACCACCCTTGATGGACAGGGAAAGCCCAACTCAGGGCAGTAGCTATCTCTGGTCTTGCAGAGTGACCTCCTGTCCCTCACCACCTTTCCCCATTTCCTGCCCACCTCAGAATGGGTGTAAATTGAGAGCATGCTCACTGCCCTCAGATCAGTGCCGTGGGTGAGATCCGTCTCCTCTTCATGGACCCTTGATCTGGAGTTGCCTACGAGAGCAGTTATGGATGCAGCAGGAGGAAACCCTGTCCCAGCCCACACACGGTTCCAAATCAGGGCTGCAAACGCTGAGGCTTGCACTCATCCCTCCCAAGGGCTCTGGAGAGGAAATGAGCAGCTGGAGCAAAGGGGAGGGCTGGGAAGAAGGTCCTGGGTTTAGCCAGCTGGGCTTGTAAAGGTTAGTGCTGAAGAATGGGATTTGTGAGAAATCCAGCAGAGCTGGGCCAGCTCTCTGACTGCCCCAGGCACCAGCCCACACCGGAGAGTCTGGTTAGACAAACTTATCCTGTCTGTGAAGGAGGGAAAGGGAACGGCAGCCCCATCAGATAAGAGCAAGATGTCTCACCAAGGTCTCCGGGAATCTCCTCACAGATGTGCAACAGGAGGGGGGGCCTGGGGAGGAGGGGAGAAGGGGTCCCCAGCCCGGGTACCAATGCTTGTCTCTCTCCTGTTGATGGGCAGAAAGCCTCCGTCTGGCGAGGGCAGAGCCTGGGCAGCCTGTACCACCACCTCCAGGGCTGCACCAAGGAGCTGGGCTACCTGACAGACCAGCAGACCAGGATCCTGAAACAGGACTGGAGTGACCAGATGATGGACGCCCAGAGCATGCGCCGGGAGTACGAGGTGAGCTCCTGGGGGACGGCCGCGTGTCCTCTGCGTGTCCTGGCCGCCAGAGCCTGGCCAAGCCTGGTGCATGGGATGGATCCCAGGCTCCTGGGCCTCCACCACCAGCCTCGAGCCTGGTGCTGTCCCAGTGCTGGGCACAGAAACAGAGGTACAAGAGACACGAGGTCCGCGCTGGAGTTAAGGATGAGTGGAGTTAAGCCATGCTGGCACATGGGATCATACACTAGAGAGCTGTCAGCAAGGCTGCCCGTGGTCAGAGGGGAGGGAAGGGCTTAGCATCATCTCAGCCTCAACGTCCAAAGTACA